GCCGCATGGAACTCTGGGTAGGAGAGTGCCTTCTGGTAGGTAACAAGTATACACATATATTTTCAAAAGAGATCGAATTTTCCAAAACATATCTATCAATAATCTCCATTTGTACTTCCCCGTCCTTGTGTTTATACTTTTTATTTTCTGAACATTTCCTAACAGTGTATTTGTTTCATGTAAATATTGTTAAATCTGGCCATATGCAGTTTTGACAACAAAGACATTAAATGTGTTCAGAGGTTGAATTATACAAATAAGTTTTCATGTCAGTCAGATCTCCGTCCGCTTTAACGAGGTCATTTACTTTGACAGGTCTCAAATGGCCAGCCATGTTTGTTTACAAACGGGGACGTAATTTTGGTTTTTACTGTAAAATGAAAATCATGTGAAATAAATTTAAAAAATGATAATTTGAAATCATGTTGTTAGTATGAAACTATGTGTCTTGTTTTAAAAATCTCGAATCAGTGAGATTGTAGCACGTAAAACATTTGAAGGCAAAGGCGTGGATTTGTGAATGAATGGGATGAGGGAAAAAAAGTTCCGTTGTCCAATGAAAATTGATCTTTGTTCCACTGACCAATCAGCTTCGAGAATCACTAATTGCACACTGTGCAAATATCAAAAAGTTACTACACTGCATATTTGAGCCCATATGGGTAATAATGAAAGTTGAAATAAGTTTTGCCCAATAGGGGGTGTAAGTAGGTCACGGGACTACGCGAGACCTAACGTTATTTAGTACTACCGGTGACAAACAACGTCTCGCGGCAATGGCGACAGCAGTGTCACGTCGGGCAGGGCCCGGCGAATCATATTTGGAAAACGCAGGTGTAACTTAGAAAAACATGACACTGTCACAGTCATTAAAACACTCGAGATGGGGAACATGAATAGCAAGTGTTGGCTTGTCAAAGCAGTTGCAGTGTTGTCAAGACGTCCTATGGTCGATGTCAAACTGACCGCTACCCATTCATAAATATTGAGGTAAGTTTTCACTTTTTGCACACTTCTGATAAGTTGGTGTAATTGTCAGTGTTGATAAGGCAATACTGATCGGTTCATCATCACACGTACAATGGTGATGGCGTTGAAAAATGAGCATAAAACATTCGTTCTGAAGGTATTTGCAATATGCTCTCGGTTTGTGCACCATACAATGTTATGGCAAATTTCCATTACATCTATCCTGAGCCTTTTCCAATAATAAATGTTCGGCTCTGATAGGGAACGTCACAGAATTATATTTGTAGGTCCAGGGGAGATGACACAAACTATAGTCATATTTAAAGAAGGCCTATCGAGTGCATGTTGGCAGCGCAAATTTTGTCAATACTTAATGTTGTGCAAGGAGACTTATGGGGGTGCCTGTGTTAATAAATAAGGATATGTGCCAATATCACGATGATAATTTTATGTGCACTGAAAAATCAGGTTTTATTCACACACAAAGATATTAATCTAATTTGTAAATAATGATGATTAAATCCTTGCGGTGTTTGTTATAAAGATCTCTGAAAAGTGACCTCACTTAAATGTATTCTGACCATTACAACCCCATTTAGCATTTGTTTAGCATATTCAGTTGAAGGTACAATGTACATGCTTAACCCTCTGGATGCCGAGTTTTTTTTCTGACGCACATTTTCCTAAGATCGGAAAAGGGAAGGTTGTGCGAGAATTGCGCTCACGCGGCACTGGATCTACCTCTGGCTATAAAATTACGCAGAGATGAAGAATATTAAATTTCCTATTTGATGGTGTAAATTTAACTGTAAATATCAAACCGGTTTACAAAAAAGACACTCCTAAGTGTTGTCCGAGAATATATTCTGCGTTGAAAAACAGTAAATTTCTCCGCTTTTTATCGTACACCGATAAAAGTACTGTGCGACAATTTTTTTAATTAAGAAGCTTTTCGGAAACTGTGAGCGAACAAAATACTGCCTAATATCTGAAGGACATAACTACATATCAAATGGAGTTATATGCGTTTGTATAACGACATACATTCAATTCCAAAAATAGCATGCCGTAAATGACGAAAACTGCTTTTTCTCTATGACGTCAAAAGGTGACAGAGAGATTTCACACGTACAAAGAAAAGGGGACATAACTCCGCTATGCTTAGCTCTAGTTTGTTGTAACTCAGGTCACTTGGTGAGAATTAGCTGTGGGTAAGGACAATGTATTTTCGTGGTGTTTTGTTCAGGAGGAACCAAACTATTCCAACACAAATATCGATATTGAAACTGTACACGTTTAGTTATAAAATATACCCATAAGAAATTATGAAATCGTACTTCATTAAAAATGAGTTAATAGAGAAATGGATGGCCTTATCTAACCTATAACTTAGTCCTTAGATTCCAACATTCTCCTGATTGTGTAAGTGTAATTTGACTAATGTTGCATCATTATTAATGGAGCACAAGCCTTATCATCAAATGTAATGAAATACTCTAAAAATAAAACCATTCCTTTTGACGTCATGGCTGGTTTTATGTCTTTGATAACGTCGGAAAAAGACGACACTGGTATTTTGATTAATATATATCTCCCCTAATTTTCTTTCATGGTATGGAAAATCACGATGTGTGGAACGGAATTTGACGCTTTTTCGACACAACATAAAAGTACTGCTCTCACCAAGCTAATAATGTCTTGAATATGTAAACAATTAGATAGTTTATCGTGTATCTTTATTGGACAAGACAAGCACCTGTTTAGCATAAATTTACGTAATAAAATTCCCAAAAGAATATTTCAAAACAACCAAACATATATTCAATATTGGACATATATTTGTTCATTATTATGTTATTATTTCTTACACAATAAAAGATGCAAAGAAAGCTCTATTGGTATAGAATTATCAGGATAATCGTATACGGTTGAACCAACGGGGTACCTGGCATGGGTTTTATTTTTATACATTTTACAATTCCTGGAGAAATAAAGTAAACTGTTTACTATCCTGTGATCACAATATTGACAAAAGAATGAACCCATTGATTATATAATGCAAAACGAGAGGAATAATTCGTAAATTGTTTGTGACTAACGCGCACCTGGCGAATCGTTAGATATCACTTTTCTCTGTATCTAACGACATAAAAGACAATTCCAAGACCAAGACATTATAGAAATGTGTGCATATATTTTACCGAAAAATATTATCCATTTTGTTAAAGTAATATAATCAGTTTTAGTTATAAAATAAAATGAAACGGCTATTCATGGACATTGGTTATATGATCTTATAATATTGACTAATTACACATCCAAAGAAATACGTACATGCTGCAGTTACATTTACACTTCATCTTGTAACACTTGTCCAAAGGAAATAAGAAATATCGTAGTCGACACTATAGACCTATCACATTCTTATGTAAACAATGTTCAAACAAACAGGAGATTATCAAAGGTTCGTTCATACATGTTGTGGCCTATATGTACGTATGATTTCATTTTGAACATTGACAAATATCCAAAGTGAAATTAATTGTGTGAAAAAAATGTATAAAAGACATGCAAAATATACACCATAACTGAAACTGTAAACAGCATGATACAATGATCGTGTGCACTCTCATTCAAGGACCTTCACCTCAATGAAATTACCAAATATGTACAACAATGTTGACGTATGACATCACTACCTGTGACCCACTTTTACAAAATGGCGTGTACACTGTCAACAGTAGGCGGGATTGTACCAGGGGACTTTCGTTGATTCAGGGATCGTATAAACATAAATGTGACATGTAAGTAATCAGAAACATTCTGACAATCTATGTACTGTTGTTTGTTGTCATAATTTTCATTGAAACAAACGGAAATAGTCAGAAATTCCGATAAATACCGTTGTCGTTGTGCGTGATTTTGCGTCAGTCATGGCGTCAACCAGAACGGTAACTTTGACAACTTCTGTTGAAAATATAAAATCATTGCAATGTATCTATTTTAAATTCCCTAATTCTTCCTACGATTCTCTTCCCATGCATATTCTGAAAATGTTGAGCCTATATCTTGAACGAATAGACGAATGGATAGCTCAAAATAGGAGAAAATTCTACACTGTGTAAAATCTGAATTTTGCTTTGTTTACATTTCAAACAAGTGCAGTTTTTCGAGGACAGCGTTCGTTTTCACACCTAACATATTTTGCTTGATTTCATCCAGCCACTTTGTATTGGTGACAGAGACCATTGGTTATTTGATCCTAAAATGTATGAGGAATTCAAGGATGTGTGTATGGCAGCTAAGTTTGACATATACGCGATGTTACAGGCGCCTCATAACCGGTGTACCTGAAACGTGATTTTGTAAACACTAGCCAATATGGCGGAAAGTTCACTTCGGCGTTCGTGTTTGCGTATTTTCCAAAACATTCTAAACGATTCTCGGGTTATGGGAGACGTTTTGGAATGATCATTGGTGTTTTCATAAAAGACAGATACCCGTGATCACTAATATGCTATTTTTGAAATTCATTTCTCCGAGTAAATATCCTAAATATAGATTTCAAAACATGCTGTAAATAACGCCGTGAGCGGTGATTTAGTAATGTGTAAAAAATGGCGACATTTACAATGTACCTAATTTTCAGAGGTCATTTTCAGTACTTTTGCTTGGCCTAAAATGCCAGTGGATGATATCACAGAACAGGAAATTTCCCACCTTATTCAAAATTGTGAAGTGTATTTGTGTTGGTGATGTATTTTGAATTTTATTCGACTTCAAAGTGAGGGTTGTAGAGGAAGGACATATATGTCCCTCTGGCATCCAGGGGGTTAAAGGGCAAATTCACACGAAAATAAACCTATTTTTCTTGTACTTTTTCATCTTGGAAAGTATTTACCTAGTAGTTTCGGAGGCAAAACAATTAAAATATCACACGTATCAAATTTATTTTATTCATAAAATCGGTTCATATTTTTCACATTTACAGAGAGTTCTATTTCCATAATAAACACACCATGGCTTATGCCCCTTGCAATATGACGTCATTGGTGCCAATTGTTAAAGGAATGACGTCATAAGACTTTATTAGACGCGTTTCACGTGGTGTATGTAGGTGTGTGGTTCTATCTTCTCAGATGCGCAGCCTAGCTATTGTTTTGTTCGGTGCCGAGCTGTCCAAGATACAACGCTAAGCACAATTACTCTAAAATTATTTCGTTTTCCAAATTCGCGACTGAGAAGACAACAATGCACTGTTAACATACTGTAAGATTCGCGATTATGGTTGGAAGGGTCCGTTGTATGAATTCAGATGAATTGCGCTTATTCGTTCATTTGTGTTGCGCATAATGGCTCTTGCTGAGTTGCTGTCGTCTTCTATGAGAGTTTAGATACCTGCTGGTTCTGAAACCACAGGACCATATGTAACTAATAATAACAATAAAAAAAACTCGCCAAAAAATTATAGACGAGGCCGAAGGCCGTTTTTGTTACTATTATTAGTTACATATGGTCCTGTGCTGAAACTGATCGGAAGCGGATGGTGTACGATCCTTATGCTAAAGGGACAGAACTTTCATCAAGACCCTGACTGGGATGTTTTTGTAAACAAACGCCGTAAGGTTGAAGTAACTCGATCAGGTAAGTTTGCTGTTTTAGTTTATTCTAACCACAGTAGTATTTAAAAATGTATTTTAGCTGGGGGAGGGTGATATTTGTACATAGTTTCACTTGATAATCATGAATATCCGCGATGTTGTCTCGTTCACATGTTCACTTCCTGCATGGTTACGTCGATACTCCTGATCAGCTGATCGTTGCAGTATGCAGCAAACTCCTGTTGATGGAGTAACAGCAAACTCCTGTTGATGGAGTAAGTTGTGTTACGTAATGTTTTAGTTTTACAGCCATTCCCGTCTGGAATTAACACAAATCATCTCATTTCGGTAATTAATAAACTTTATAATAACACAGTAAAACAAATTATAAATTATAAACTCATTGAAATTCTGTGTTTGTGTGTGTACCTAATCTTTAAATAATCATGTACAATAATTTTGATTCAGACTGTTGAAGCAAAAATCCGCAAAAATACATTGTTGCAACATGTTTATTTTTTATATTTAGGCTTTATATATTTTTTATTCAAAAAGATATCTGGTTTTGCTGGTTTGTAGCTGACAAAATAGCCAGTCACTATCCAAAATCATCGCCCACCTACCACCCAAAATATTCAAATTCATGTTCAATGCAATTTACACACATATACAATTTATAGCACATTTATACATGAAAAAAATCAAGTTACCATTTTATATTTTGTGATAGTGAGATATAGATGACAAAAGTGTTAATGTTTCTATGTTGTATCTTTCAAATATGAAGTTTCGAGCCAAGTCATGCCAGTCCATCATGGTGTAAAGTCGCTGTCCAATGTACACCAGAAGCATGGCACACCGTGCTTCACAGTATGAGGTACAAAATAATATTTTGACAATGAATAATCACACAATGTAAATACTATATGCAAATAATTTCTGTATTGAACTATTTTGTGTATCTATTATATTCTATATTTTGTTGTAAAAGTGTAGTGTGGATGACAAATGAACGTATACTGTGAATGACATATAAAAGTTTAGATCTGATACAATTTGTACACAGTTAACTGATGATATTTGTATTCAGGCACCCAGTGTCATGCCTCACACTGCTGCAGATTATTACCACCTTCTTTTACAATTATTTAGTCAGTGTACATATTGTTTTTGACAAATCTATGTTAAAATTATTTTTATATTTTTCAGGTCCCACAATGATATGGAAGAGTATAAATGCGACAAAACCCTTTCCATATTCATAAGAAATCTTTGTAAAAAAACAGTTGATGGTACGATTCTGACTAAATCATGAGCAGGTGTTAATGAATCGCTATCAAATAGTGATCATACCAGGTGTTCGCGAAAGGTGAGAGTATCCTGCCCCAACGGTGTCACAAGAAATCCCTGGTGTTGAGATCCATTTTCATTGTGTGCAAATTGTGTTTATTTTCATGCAGAGTTACAAGTCATAAAATATTAGAGTGTCTTGTGAGGTACAGTGCTTCAGACAACAAGAGAGTAGTACTTTTGAAATAGTCAACCAGTGCACTAACAAGTTGCCACTGAGCATTTAGCCAGTGCTTGTGATATTTTCTTAAGTCTTTTCCCCGGCCTTTGCCCTTGCCCAAAACTACCTGATCCAGCATCAGCCATCCTGTATTACAGAAACTTATCAAATGAAACAGCAAAGGCTGATTGTTGTCAGAGACCATAAAACAAGATTTCAACGAAAAAAGTTTATTTTAATGAGCATAGAGAAAAACATTACATACATCAGATGGAAATCTTTCATGAATCACCTCGACAACACAAGATGGAATAACTTTTCTCTGATTCTTCAACTATTTCTGCAAATCCCCAAAGTGAACCTCTTGTTTATGAGGTGTAGATAGATTCTGAAATGAAAAAGTGTCTTTTATTAGTCAAGCTATGCACAACATTACAAAAAAATATCATACCATTTACATATATATTTCTGTCATTAAATCTGGAGGGATGCTTATATAAGAAGTAACTTGTATTGATGATATATGCATAATTTTTATTACATGTTAATAATTCAATAAATACCAAAACAGTTTATAGTTCTATCATGTTGACATGATGTGTTTATTACTGTAGGTTTGAATACTTCTTGAAATATTGTGGGCATGTTTCAATATCACTGATGTAATTTAATAACCTTACAAGTTACATATGCTTTCACAACTTGCTGGCAAATAAACATTTATGGTACTCGAATCTCTTATTTTACTTGTCAGATTTGTTTGTTGTGCAGGATAGATGTTAAAATGCATAATAAAATAAATTGATGAAAGTAAATCATATTATATGTTTTCTAAACTTTATTTCAAGTGTTAATATAAAAAAGGGTGGTGGGGTAGCCTTGAGGTGAAAGCGTTCGATCGTCACACTGAAGACCCAAGTTCGATTCCCCACATGGGCACAACATGTGAAGCCCTTTTCTGGTGTCCCCCAGTTATGATATTGCTGGAATATTGCTAAAAGCGGGGTAAAATCCTACTCACTCACTCATATAAAAAAATTATTGCATATTTCATTTGCATTTTAGGGGGCGGTTGTAACAGACGTTTTGCTCAAAAGGTCAGGTTGGGAGGTCCAAATTTCCAAACAAAGATTTAAAATTTCAAATATTTTTTTTTTAAAGTTTTACTTATAGTTTCTTAGATAATTTATATGTATCGATTGTGACTGTAAATGAGCTTTTTGTAAACATTTTACATATATCTGGTCCACTCAGTTTAGCAACCCACTGTTTTTAATAATTAATTATATATTAGATATTTCTTCTTTTTTATAGTTTCTAAACATTTAAAAAAAAAATCTGGCCCCATAATAGATGATAAATAGTTTCCCTGCAAAGTTGCAATGCATTTTCTATGAATGGTTGTCAGAACAAATCAACAACCAATTATCTATTAAATAGAATAAGATACTGTAGGCCTACTGCAGTAACTGGTTTCAAACACTAAACAAATCAATTGAGTGATCTATCTTTTCACTTTCAAATGGGGACGGTGTGAAGTTTGAAGTACGACATCCAATTACTTATCAATAAATATGGCAGGTATTTTGTACTCGGATGGGAAAAAATCAAAGAGAATCTTTTTCCCCCAGTACGTTTCCACTCGGCAACCGACTTTAGAAACGTACTGGGACGTACCCCATTTTCGTGTTACTCTAAGCATATGGTCTCGTCATCAGCTGGTAGGCCTAATGTGTAATCTTGTTGAGACAACGTTTGGCGACAGATCGTATTTGTTTCTTGATATTGTCAAGTAGCATTGATCTGTAGCCTATAGGTGGTGGGAATAGTTACATCCAAACAGACAAACTCAGATTGACGACAATGCCGATACCGGCGATAGGGTCGTAACAGGGTGAGTGAGTGAGTGAGTATGGTTTTACGCCGCTTTTACCAATATTCCAGCAATATCACGGCGGGGGACACCAGAAATGGGCTTCACACATTGTGCCCATGTCGGGAATCGAACCCGGGTCTTCGGCGTGACGATCGAACGCTTTAACCACTAGGCTACCCGACCGCCCCGTAACAGGGTGGGACAGGATTAATAGGGCTGCTGATAAAGCATGCGGGTCACCAGGCGTGACAAAAAATCTCTTAGAATATTACATTTCCGCATCTGAAAACGTAATAATCAGCATATAGGTAATTTAGGTATACACACATCAAAGTGTTATTCTTACCACGTTGTCACTGGTAGGCCTAATTGTGTAGATGTCGAGTCGGGGTCGGGTGAGAAATTAGGTGATGTGGGTCTTCTCTTGTTTCCACTTGATTTTCATCGTTTCCATACCGCGAAGCTTGCTCGTTTTGGTTCAAAATCGTATGGTTTTGCGATTTCTTGAAGGGTCAAGGGAACTTCTTCGGACCAGGCAAGGTATCGGATGCCATGTTGTCTCACCATAAACTGGTACTTGATATCTTTTGCGTTGTGACAAGACAGGGACCCAGTTAAATTGGCACCTACGTCATCAAGCTCCTTCCCAGCGCGTGACACCTTCGTTACACTCTCGGTAACATCGCTGCCACCAGTGTGGGCGCGGCCATTACAAGAATCTTGAAATTTGCCCTCTAACCCCAAATGTAGTAACGTTTATACTTTTGTTTATGTCTTTGGGAATGCCATCATATTTCAATTTGAAAAGGTTTACGACTGACCATGTTTTCCAGATGAATTTACTTTGTTGTTTTGATAATCAGATTGGTTCGAGATTGCAGACTAACGGAAAACCAACCAACTTCTCCCTTACATTCTTACTATATAAATAACATGATAGTTTTAATGAAACAGAAATTCAAATTGACAAACGAAGAAAGTAATTTAGCAGCTATAAGTGTATTCGGCGTCACGACAGTCGTCACTTGTTTGTAAACATAACGGTCATTCGGTTGCGAGTTCAACTCCAAGCATGGTTGTGGCCACCTAGTTTTGACTGGTGGCAGCGATAGTATAGAGAGCTCCGGGAACGTACTATCGCTCCGGGAACGTACTATCGCTGTGAGGAGCTTGCTACGTCATAATCTAAGGGGGATAACTCAGGCCTGTTTAGCTCGGAAAACGAAGGCCTCATAACGGCATGACATTTTCACACTTATTGTGAGCTCGCTACATTGACTGTGAGAAAAATGAGTGTATATTTTCAAACACTGATACTTACTAATTCTAAAATTCCGTTTTGTTTAAAATAAGAAAGAAAGTGATTTTTGCGTGTACACTTCCCCTTTAATTTATTAATTATATCTTGATGTAGGCATTGTAAGAAATGGTTGGTATTTTATGATCTCATAAGTGTTATTTATCTTTTGCAGTTGGACCCTATTTCCATGTTTGAGGGGAGAAAGATTTCCTCATCTTACTCACGAGTAGATGCATATGGATCACCAGAATTACCTTGATGCCAAGCATAACTGCACCTCAAGAGCATCTCAGACTATAACATATCTTCAGATTTTTTTTTCTTGGAATATTTTGTGGTCAAGCATTACATTGCCTATGAAAGAACAACTCTTGTTGTGTATACAGGTGTAAACATATTAAAGTTCTATCTGAACATTTTGCTGAAGTATTGGCTCTGTAAATGATGTCTGTGACCATCAGAATACACCATATACACTGGACACTTGCTGGAACAGGACCTACTTGTCATCAACATGGTGTTGCAGAACATCTTGGGACTCTCTCATAAAGTCCAGTGTGAATCTAGATACTGACACCAGTAACAGTGCATGCTGGCACATTTATTTGTTCAGGCTTGGCATTTGGGAATATTTGCCATGAATGTTTAATACTCATGACCTTGAAATAAAATTACTGAATAGAGCTGAAGCTTATTTATTGTTTTTTGTCTGGGATAATGCCATACAAAAAAAGTTTTTTTTAATATTTCTGGTATCAGCCATGATACTGAATTGATATTGAATATAATATCATAACAATGCACATGGAATGTGTGATAATAGATTTCCAGTTTATGGTTCAAAATTTTCCAAGAAAATACAACAGATGCTTACCAATGAAAATTTAACTTAACCAATGGCATAGCAGTTGTTGCTTTGTGAAATGAATTCTTTGTTGAAATATCAACATGTCTTGTTTTTGCATCGCTGTTTTAGGGTCCAGCATACAAATTACACTGATTCATAGAACAATAGCCAATAAACATTAACATTTCTTGACCAGTAATCTTAAAACAGATTGGTCCAAATGGATAGCTGAAAATGTGAAATGACAGTTACCTCATTTGTTTGACTTGGATTTATTGGCAGAATATTTAAAATACACAAATATATGAAAAATAGGTGCAATTGTTTCTATCTCTTCATCAAGTCAATATGGTTGCACTACATTGTGTTCATAAGAGTTGACTGAGTGATAAGTTGAATCTATTAATGTTTTGGACTTGTGGCAATTTTTTTACTTTGTTCAATTGAGCCTCACAACCAGAAATATTAATTTAAAAACCCCTACTGTTTATCACAATTAATCTTTTAATCTTGCCCCTGCTATCAATCACAGTCTGCAGTGTTATAACAATTATATTGCTGACGAGGTGTAACACTTTTATTTCTTCCCTCAGAATAACATAACACTTCATTTATTAGTAAGTATCTTTCTTAATGTAGGACATGTCATTGGTGATCACCTCCATAATTCAGTGTATTTGTCTTGCATTTTGGCCACTTCTGACTTGAAGTTGCTGCGTGCTGGATGATGCTTCATCTTTTGACCAAGAAAAAAACCATTCATGTTCTGCAACAACATAGAACTAGACATCAAGTACATACACAGTGTAAAATTACCATTGTCCAACACCAGTTCTATTCATCACCGGACTTAACAAATAATGTTTACACAATTTGATGAATTAGTATATCACTGTGAATATTCATATACGAATACTAACAGCAGTTACTTGTTGCACAAACCTGAAACCACCTGAGACTAAGAGGTCTTTCATTGAAATATGCGAGTAAAATAAAACAATTTGACTTACATACTTTTAATATAACAATGATAATACATATTCAAATGTAGTTCGAAATTAAGGGGTATGTGTGTTTTACAGGATAGGGTTTGATATATTTATTTCAAATACTAGATTATAGTAATCAATATAATGTATTGACTTGCCTTCATGGTTATTTGATTAACTGATTTGTGACACTATAAGTTATTATGTTTATTTTCCCATATATTCTTTTTTGGTGCATGTTGATGAGAAGAGCTTTATTTCATTCAATTTGGATAATTATTTTCGGGATCAATATATTTACAGGCAGGGCTAAGAAAATCTATTTGGCATGCAGTAATGACTGTCTTTCTTTATTTCACATACTGAAGAGGCCACAGGCCTATAGTACAATTTGAAGAATATACAGTTTTATACAATTTATGTACATATCTCACCAGATCACCTCACGTCATTCCACCTCGCATTTCAACGCAGTCACATAATTTCACACATACAGTACAATACCATACCCTGTAATTTCATAATTTCTATATTACCATATCACAACTTGTTATATCATACAACATATTATATAACATCATATCATATTGTATCATTATTATAAGATCATACTATATAGTATTATTTCATATAACATTATCATAACATACTATACATACCATCCTACCATATATCACAACTATATTGTATCACATTTCAACATGTCATATCACACAACACATTAGCAATGTCATAGCTTGTCCCATCATATCTTATCATATCATACCATATAATGCCATGTCATTCCATGCCAATTTATTTCATATCAATCAATCAATATTTATTCAACACTGTAAGACCGCAAGCCATATAATATGTACACTAAAAAACAGTATTTACACAATTTCTATAATACACATAATATATTGCATCATATCCCCTCATGTATCATATCACACCACAACACTTCATATCCTATCACATCATGTCATGTCACATCATATCATTTCATATACATATAACTATTCTTAACCATTTATAATATCACGTCCCACAATATCATATGACAGCCTAGTAGTTTAATACCATTTTTAACTCTTTTGTTTGTAGTTTATTCAGATGGCAAATATCTATAAATATGTACTTAATGTATATACACAATAGTTTCCTAATACCAAGCAGCTAAGATTATTCTTTCATAAGGTTCTGTCTGTATAAAGAGGCATAATATATGTACATGGAAACATTTTGTAAGATACTTCTTTTTGTGTTTGACAGCAATGTAACAAATTTAATAATATTAGGGTACCTGTAATAATAAGCTTGCAGGTATTTTTCCCTAAGGTGTAAATACACTGGACATACAAGTAAGAAATGAAATTCATCTTCTACTGAGTTTAAACTACATAGATTACAGATTCTTTCTTCACGAGGAATGTTTACATAGCGCCCTGTTTCTATTAAAAGGTTGTGAGAAGAACATCTAAAACGTGAAAGAGCCGTTCGAAATTTTTTAACATTAACTTTTGATAAATAATCTTCCATAATTATTTCTGCTTTAAACAATTTGTAATAAAAGCATTTGTTTGTTTGAGTCAATGATGCAGTCCAAGATTGTAAATAAATATCCTTTAATCTCTGGGTTAATGAAAGTATAAACATTGGTTTGGGATACACATTTTGGTTTTGCCAAATATCACCAAAGCCACAACTGAAAAGTAATTCTCTAACACCTGTAACCCAGTTTCTTTTCCCATTATTATCATAAACTATCATCATATTATAACACTTTTTCGGCAATCTATACGAGGGCATGTCAATAAGTCTCAGCCAGTATTTAATAACTTTTATATTTGAATATACATAGAGAGGGAATCTTCCACATTCTCCATACACCACCAAGCTGGAAGTGTTTATTTTAACACCTAAATACTTTTTGCAAACATATAAATGAATCCTTTCTATGGCATCAAAGTTATGTAGACCCCAGACTTCTGCCCCATACAACAAAATGGGGAGTATCTTTATATCAAATATTTTTAAAAAAGATTGATGAGAAATGGTTTCTAAAACTTTCAAACTCTTATGGATACTTACAAAGACCTTTCTTGCTTGTAAAGCAGCTTGATACAAATGTTTATGCCATGACAAGTTTCTACTGAAGTAAACACCAAGATATTTATAAAATCCTGTAGTTTCTATTTTTTGTCCTTTAAAGGACCAATATTCTTTACTTGCTAAATGACCTCCATTCTTAAATACCAAAACTTTTGTTTTACTCATGTTAACTGTTAGCTTCCATTTATTGCAGTAACTTTCAAGTTCATTAATTTGACACTGCAGTCCTTTGATTGTTGATGAAAAGAAAACAATATCATCTGCAAATAAAAGTAAAAATATCTTTGTAATATCTGGATGGAGCTGAACACCATAATTACAGTTGGTATTTATTTGTACAGCCAGTTCATTTATGAAAAAAGTAAAGAAAAATGGGCTTAAGATGCATCCTTGTCTTACTCCTAACTGACTAATAAATGTTTCTGAAATCTCATTATTGTTTCGCACACACACCTTAATATTCTCGTAAATGCTACCCAATAGTTTGTTCATCTTAAAGCTGAGGCCATGTGATCTTAAAAGGTTCCATAGTTTATGTCTCTGCACTGAGTCAAATGCCTTGGCAAAGTCAACGAAGAGCACATCAAGTTTCCCACCCTTGACACTGAGGTATTTGTTAACTAAAACTTGAAGGATAAAAATGTTGTCAATAGTTGAATAGCCCTCTCTAAATCCAGCTTGTTCTTCATTGATTTTGTTGAGGGTATCTGCCCAAAACACTAACCTTTTATTTATTATGTTTGTGAATAATTTACCAAAAACACTTAGCAGTGAAATACCTCTGTAATTGTTTATATCACCTTGTTTATGTATTGGCACAATTATCCCTAATGACCATGCATCTGGAAATGTTCCATTTTCTAATATAACATTAAATATAAGTTCAAGGTAAGGTACAATTATATCTGAGGAATGTTTAAAAAAACTCGGGAATAATCTGATCCATTGCTGGTGATTTGTTGCATTTAAGATGGTGTATACTCTCTAAAATCTCATCTCTGGTAATAGGGGAATCCAGTATATCATTTGCAAACTGAGTATTATCTTGTGACTCCTGGAACTGATTTTCAGGGCTCTGATCAGTAACTGTGAAAGTAAATAATTCTTTAAAGTAAATGTACCAATCCTTAATGTTGATATTATTTGTCTTTTGATGTTTGCTTAGACTTTTCAGTTCTGACCAAAATAGTTTAGAGTCATGAATGTTATTTTCTAAGGATTGTTGCTTATCATGTAAATATTCTTGTTTCTTTTCTTTGCACATAGCTATATATTTGTTTCTTATGTTATGATATTCTCTAAGTGAGTCCTTATCTTTACATCTCCTGAATTTATTGAGTGCCCTACATCTTTTCTTTTTAAGACCCTCACATTCTGCATCATACCATTTACACAATTGACTAAGCTTTGGATTTCTAACCTTTTTTTGCATGTCCGAGCCCGCTAATTTCAAGGCATCCACTAAGTAATTAATACTTACATCAATTTTGGACAATGCTGTATTTACTGATTTATCAAGTAAATCTTGAACTTGGTCAGAAAAGAGTTGATCTCTAAAATTTTGTGATTTGTCATTATCCCAGACAAACTTGAAAGATTTAGTAGCCTGATCATTCCTTGGTTTTGAGGGTTGGTGTGTTTCGGGTACTCTTAATGTCATAGTAACTGGAAGGTGAACTGAATCTGATCAAGATTCTACACCAAAGTCTGCAACATTGTCAAATAATGGAGAAGAGGCTATAATATAGTCAATTACACTGGTACCATTTACACCAATAAAAGTAAAGTCACCGACATTTTTATCTCTACCACATCTTCCATTCATGATATGAATATTCAGAACTGAACATAAATCAGTTAAACATTTTCCAAAGCTGTTTAAAACTCTATCTAGAGAAAAGCGTTCAAGATTGAAGTAATCCGATATAAGATCAGACATGAAGTAATTATGATTTTCAGTATACTCTGTTATGTCATCTTCAACATAGTCAGATTTAGTTCCAGTTCTGGCATTGAAATCACCACCACATAATACATGTACATCATCAAATTCTGATAATATTGTAAGTAGTTTCTCTTGAAAAAGAGTGACACCATTTTTGCAATTAGAACTAAACTTATCATACCATGAGGAACTCTCTGGGTGTATGTACACACAAGCATAAAACAAATCTAATTCTGTTCCAAAAAGTTGTTTGTCAAACAGTAGGAAAATTGCATTTTCAGAAGTTTTTGTCCATTTTACACATTTAGACAATTCTTTCCTAGCCATAACTAAAATGCCACCAGAAAGTCTGCCATAAGATGATAATTTATCTGCCTCTTTGTTAATGATTTCATAATTTTGAAAAACATTACCTAAATTGAGATCCTTACACCATGTTTCTGTAATTCCAATGATGTCAAAGTTTTGTACATAGCTACAGAAGTCAGAGTCACTTAATTTACTCCAAATTCCAGAAATATTCCAAAATATAAATTTCACAAGATTTTCCTTACTTACAGGTTGATTGTCAAATAAGTCCACAGATTCTTGTTGAAACGTCCTACATTCACTAGAAGTATGTACATTGTCTCTTACTCGGCCCTGACCACACCCCTAGCTCGACTGTCCCCTAGAGGCAGCGTGAGAGTAGGATCTAAGCTGTCGCCTGGGAGGCTTGTTCTGCTGGGTGATATTATCTTGTGAATTCTGTACACTGTCCTCCTTAGGTTCCTCGACGAGCTTATTCCCTTTATAGTAGTATCTAATGTTTGGGTTCTCACTACGAAGCTTGTACAGTTCCTGTCTCTGTTGGTTTGACAGGTCATTTGCGATTCCTATCCCATTCTGTTTCAGTACACTCCTAAGTTTCACTGAGTGCCACTTGTCATTCCAGTGGCACATGCGCACGATTATAGGCCTGGTTTTATTGGAGTATTTTGAGGAAATACGGTGGGCCCTCTCAATGTCTCTCACCACAAGCGTAGTCAGACCCTTTGTTCTCCTTGCGTCGTTCAAGATTTCCAGCACCTTGTTCTTACTTTCTGTGTAGGTTTCCTTGTGTCCCTCGACCTCAGGTACTCCGTACAACACCATGTTGTTACGTCGACCTCTTCGCTCCTGGTCCTCGACACGAGATTCAAGAACACCAACATACTCCTCCAAATGATGAGTTCTTTCTATGAGTGTATCGATGTCCAGTCGTAAAATCTCTTGTTCCGCTGTACTGTTCTTGACCTATTTCTTCAGATCTGTTACTTCCGACATCAGATATTCTATATCCTTCTTCATCGAGTGTATATCTTTTGACAGTCTTTCCTCTGATTCCTTTATTTGTCTAATGATAGCCGATTTCATATCCTCTAATTCCTTACCAGCTGGACCTGGGTTCAATTTGACGTCTCCGGCCAGGTGAATCACTGATGGGAAGATAGTCATACCTGGGACGGTAAACAAGTCGAGTGTCTCCTGAATTCGCCATGTAAACAATGCTGACATCACATATCATGATTGATCACACACAATTCTGTAATGACTGTCATTCATCCAAAGTAGAGGAAATTATTTATTTTCTCTCAACTTTTAATTATTTCACAAAAACATTTTTTTTATGGTGCAAACTACCAAAGTGCAAGAAATAGTACATCTGCATTATTATATCTATTCACATTTAATATACAAACTAATTTTCATAATTACACAACAATTTATGCACAGGCTTTCTACATTGCATAAAAACCCTATTGTCTCCTTCATAAAAAAATATTTATAAGTAAGTTTCTTCTCCAAACTAACAAATTTCTTAATGGAATATTATTTACTTAATTTAAGGTGTGTGACAGAGTAAACATGGTAATTATGACCAAATATAGTGCATATTAAATTTTAAGTTCCAAACACGTGACTGGGTTATTAAGTACTATAAATAGACTATAATTACTAAAAAAATAAATACAATATACTAAAATAAATTTCACGTTAAAAAATATATTCATAGCATAGATTTTCCAAATTTCATCCTCCAAATCTTGCCTAATTTAATGCCTATTCAAACTGTCAAAGGCACGGCTTCCATGACACTGATCATGCCGTCAGATACCAGAATAACGTGGTAAGTTGGGGAAAGTGGCCTACCTATTAGTAGTTACATCTTCATAAATAATATTACATCACAGAAACATGTAACACATCCTCCGTAATCATAAAACACTGTCCACTGAGACTATAAATACACGTCTGAACGATAGTACTGTAGTGATTTTACTTCCGCGAACAATATGGTGATTAACTGCTCTGATGGTTTCGCCAATTAATAGTGTGATTGTCCGGCACGATCTGCATAGTGTTATCTTAAAATGCGGTCCGCGACTGTTAGCTCAGAACTAGGGTATTTACCTTTCTCGAAGCTTCGTTGCAGACGATCCCTTTTCCGGCAGCGCTCGGCCACGTGCACCTCGGCCTCGGCTTCCCGAACACTTCCGAGGGAAACCGAATGTCTCCGACGGAAGTAGAGATCGTCTCACACAACACTCCTCCCTGTTTTCTAAGCTCGGGTACATCCGAGGACGTCCGTCATTGCTGAAGGTCCTCCCCCATCATTTCTGCTCAGGCACATCCGGAGACGTCCGTCATTGCTTGAGGAACACCTTATTTTTTAGCCGCTCTAGCACATCCAAAGACGTCCGTCATCGCTGGGAGGGATGCTTTAATATTGCTGGAAACCCTACTCCACACATTCAATCATGCGAGGCGTTAAGGGTTTGTACCCATGAATGGACACAGGTACTTGATTTACTGTGTCAATATGGAGTTTCTATATTCTTGCAACCTTACTCCACACATTCAATCATGCGAGGTGTTAAGGGTCTGTAGGTTTAATGGTATCCCCACAGCCTATGGCATCAGATAATTTAAGATGCAAAATACCCATGAATAGACATGGGTACTTGATTCACTGTGTCTTGTATTTCCTTGTACGTAGTTTTTAAATCCTTGCAGCCCTACTCCACACATTCAATCATGCGAGGTGTTGAGGGTTTGTACCCCACAATTAGCATCGGATAATTAAGATGCAAAATACCCATGAATGGACACGGGTACTTGATGGGGTGAGTTGCATATCGTGGCTGTACCACTTTCCTGACCCCCAGGAGTAAACCCGGGTGTCCTTCTAGTCACTTACTAGAAGTGGTACAGGGCTTGGCTGTTGGCTGTGGTGGTGGCGAGAACCGATTCCACTGTTGTCCCACGGATCCTTGATACCGAGTAGGCCACCTCGCCTATATCATTGGGGGTGCTGATCCTGTTATTTCTCGGGGACAGGTAAGGTGCATCTGTCTCTAGGAGTAGCCTATCTTCTGGTACCCTCCTTAAAGCTCTCTTTTGTTGAGATGTGAATCTCGCCACCATTCCAGAAAATCCAAAGTAGGCCCTGGGGAATTTGACCAACCAGGCCTCTAGAACCTGGTAATCTCCCCCAAAGCAATGGACATGAATGGCCATGTCTGATACACTATCTGCTTTGGATTCCTGGCAGTGCCTATCTAGGATGCCTATAGCAAGGCAATGGGCCACAGCACCAAAATTCTTCTTCTCGTCCATTGCGTTGCCACGGCAATGGACTACCACCGGTAGGCCTGATGGCTTGAGTTTAAGCAGGCTTTGGAACACCTCCCTCTGTCGCACCCAGGAGGCTGGAGGGGTGGACTGGTCGATACCGATCTCCCCTAGGGCGACGACTTGAGGCTGTTTCAGGAGGTGGCAGATCTTCTCCTTGATAGCCTGGTTAAATTGGTCTGCCTTCTTAGGATGCAGACCAATAGTTGGTGGATCATTGTGTCCTGGCCTGTGACCTTTGGATATGTGCCCGGGTCACAATGTACGGACACCACACTAACCAACTGAAATGGTCGATCTGGATGTTGCTGGGGTCCTGGCTTTAGGGTGTCCTCCAAAGACCTACTTTCTAGGTACTTGCCAAACTGTCTAAGTTGGAGACGATCCAGATGACAGTGAGAGTCAATGGCCTGAGGTGAGATGGGACCCGCAAGGGACTGACCATCAAACTCTGAGGCGCCCTCATCCAAGACGAGGACGTCCAAAACCTGCTCCATAGCTGGCGATGGCATTTCCAGTGGGGTCCCTGCCTCCATAGGACCCTCCTCCTCTTGTCTGAACAGTGGCTTGGCTGTGACCATTGCAGTGGGTCTGACCTCCTTTGGGCTGGTCACACTTGCCAGTGACTGTAGCTGTGGTGCCAAACCAAGACTAAAGAGAGCCTTAAACCTGGCTCTCTGCTCCTCGGTAAGCAGGTTGAGAAGGTTCCCAACGACCCTCCAATGAAGGAGAACAGCCACCGAGTTCACCGGGCACATGGTGAACTTGTTGGGAACCCCAAGAGCCAGCTTGTGAGAGAACTCTCTCATCCGGGTAAGACCACTTGGGGAAATGGGATATTCCTCCAATAGGTCAGAGCCATTTAAATGATCTACCAGGTCCTCAGGAGTAGACCCGGGACCGAAGATCTCTTTGGCCAGCCAGATCAGTCCTGTCTGGGCCTGAACCAGACGCTTCACCTCCATTTGTCCCTCATCAAAGCACTGGGGCAAATGACTCATCAGGTGTTGCCTGAGATGCCTTGTCCGTTTGGAGCACCCCACCACGAAGCAAGGTTTGGCCATGATCCTGTGTCAACCCTGGCTTACGGTTCCTGATGGGCTTTCCAGGGTTAGTCGGGGCTAATGAGGTCTGAATCACCAACCCCAACCTGTCCGAGGAAGTGACAGATACTTTTCTCTGTACAGGCTTTCCCTCGATGATGGCCCCCTCTGGCTTCAATCCATGGTGGTACAGGTGTAGGTCACCACGCCTTGGGGACCGCCCTCTCCTGTACGTGATAGCCCGGTTTCGTTGGGGGGACCTTCCCCTTCTTGGACTGGGTCCTCGATGAGGTCTTCGAGATCGTTCACTCGTGGGTACGCATCTCCTTGGCGAACGAGACCTCCGAATGACCCTCGACCAGGACACTCTATGTTGAGGATGCCTTGAGGGCAAACGTGAGTGGGCACGGTGTCCCAAGCAATCGCGTCTCCGGATAGAACGTGAGCGGTGGTTCTCCATGTCAATGTTTGGTTGTGGTTTTGTTTGGGTTTTTTGTCTACAGGTGCCTGCAAGAGTGGGAAACTATATATTAACCCTTCCATCATTTAAGTATGTGCATGGGAAGACCACGCACATACATTTTCAGTTGTAGAGACAGTAGTCACAGAAGTAAGAGTCCATTGTTTTAGACTCTTCCTCCGTGACCCCCACACACTCGCCGCGATACCATTCATCACAACCATCACAAGCGATCATAAGTGTACCATTGTAGGGTTTCTGGCACTTACAGTATAAGATGTCAGTCTCTTTTTGGCCGACATCCGACGGTATTCCACCTGTGTATCCTGTGTCATCCCCTGTTTGGACTCAAACTTGGCTTTTGCCCTCAACACGCATGCTGGAATTTTTCTATCCAGACACTGACGGAGGCGGTCATGGTGGACAGTAGAATCTCGGTTCCTGTATCGGATGATAAACAGGGTGGGTGTTCGTTTCTTGACAATTAGAAAGGGACCCTTCCATGTGGGATGCAACTTTTTGCACTTCCCTACCTTCACAGCGGTGTCCATGACATACACCAAATCTCCTTCGGTGTATGTACTTTCATTGGTTTTCAAGTCATAATCCCTCTTCATTCTTTGTAAGGCTGTTCGGAGATTAGACCTGGCCATCTCATGTGCCTCCTGGATTGCTCTCTGTAAGGAATTCACATACTCTGGCAGGGAGTTAGATACATGTTTAACTGGGGATCCAAACATCAGATCAGCTGGTACATTCACCTCTCTTCCAAGCATCAACTTGTTGGCTGAATATCCTGTCTGTCGGTTTACAGATGACCGTATCGCCCCTGCTAGCTGTGCTAGGTACTCGTCCCATCCTGCTTGTGACTTCCCTACATGACAGCGTATCATCTGGAGTAATGTCCTGTTATACCGTTCTACCTGTCCATTAGAAGACGGACGGTAGGGTGTTGTACGGGTTTTGTGAATGTGTAGCAAGGAACATATTGACTTAAAGAGTTCACTCTGAAAATTACGACCTTGGTCCGTATGTAATTGGAACGGATAGCCAAATTGAGAGAAAAACTCATTGATAGCGGCTTGTGCTGTCGCCTCCGCCTTTTGACTTGGAAGAGGGATGCACTCAACCCACTTCGTGAATTGATCCACCATCATCAATATGAACTGATTCCCTTTTTTGCTTAAGGGCAATGGACCAATAAAATCCAGGTGCACCCTTTCCATTGGCGCGCCTGCATGGAAATTGGTCATTTTCGCCCTAGAGTGTTTAGAGGGTTTCTTGTTCTTACTACATTTCTCACATGTTTGGACATATTCCTGTGCCTCTTGAGAGCATCGGTACCAATAATATCGGGACCTTAGTCTCTCTCTTGTCTTTGAGATTCCCATATGGCCTGCTGCGGGAATGTCATGGACATGCTTCAACACTTCTTGCTGGAGGGTTTGTGGAACAAGGAGCAGTTTGTTGTTGGAGTCCTGATTACTCTCCCGGACCACCAGACCCCGGTGATCTCGTGAGAATAATTCTTTGTCTATCCAGTAGGACTTTGTTGCTTGGCTTGCCAGAAATATTTCTTGTTCAGATGGTATTGTTTTATCATCCAACCATTGATGCAGAAAGGTTAGTTGTTTGTCCTTTCTCTGGAGCTGCCTTAACTCGTCCAGAGAATATCCAAACCTTGGAGTGGTATCCTTCTCAGCATTAATGGTGACCTTCTGAACTTGTACGTCCCTCGGCTCCGGAAATAATTCAAGATTTCCTGTTTGTGTGTCAGTCACCATTACTAGGCGCTGAACACTAACTTCAGGCTTTGGACAGCTCTCTAAACAAGTCTGTAGATCTTGAGTAAAATATGTACTTGATGTACCTAGAACATTCCCCTCTGTTGAAAATGTTACTTGTCTAGAAGTGGACTCCAACAAGAGTTGTCTCACCTTGGCTTGAGTGATGTTTCTCCTTGACAAGGGTATGGAATAATCAACTTCTTCCTGGAAGGCTCCCCAATTTTTGTGTGCTCTCTTGCAATATTTGCAGCCATTGCATGGGAGTGATAGGGGCTCCACTGTTCCCTGATAATAAGGGCAATTGTCCTTCTCAGGAATCTGTGACAATCCATCCGCATTGAGGTGCTTGGCACCAGGTCTATGGAGTACTGTCATGTCATACTGACTTAATTCCTCAAGCCAACGGGCGAGCTGTCTTTCTGGTGATCTGAACTTAGTAACCAGGTGAGACTGCTGTGGTCTGTTCTTACTGTGAACGGCCTACCCAACAAATAATGGCGGTACTGTCGGGTAAACCGCAGCTCCTTGCGCGTGGTGCAGTACCTTCTCTGTTCCGGTGTGAGACTAAAACTGCCGTAACTAATTACTCTCTCTTGACCATCTTGCACTTGTATCAGTTCCGCTCCAATGGCCCAATCTGAAGCATCTGTATCCAAGATGAAGTGGTCTTCCTTGTTGTGCAATGCTAACACCGGTGTTGACGTAAGGGCAGCTTTTAACCTTTTGAAGGACTGCTTTTGTTTTTCCTCCCATATAAAGGGTTTTTTTCCTGTGAGGTCATACAAAGAACATGCCAGCTCAGCATAATTCTTGATGAATCCTCTGTGATAGTTGGCAAATCCTAGGAATCGCTCAACTTCCTTTGTGCAGGTGGGGACGGGCCAGTTATGAACACATTCCAGGCTACCTGGGTTTACTTCTAGCCCATCCTTGCTGACCACTCTGCCTAAAAATTCCACTTTCTTCTGAAACAGCTCACATTTTCTAGGTTTCAGCTTCAGATTGTATTTCCGAAATCGCTCTAATACTCTCCTCAGATTGATGAAGTGGGAGGGTATACTGGTCCCATTAACCACTGCATCATCCAAGAAGGCAAGGACGATGTCCCAAGTCAATCCACTGAGGACTAGTGCCATAACTCTAGAAAAAGTGGCCGGGGCATTGCAGAGACCAAAGCCCATTCTGACGTGCTCATACAATCCATACTTTGTTATGAATGCTGTCTTTTTCTGGTCCTCTTTACCAATCTTGACTTGCCAATATGCTGAATTAGCATCTAGTTTGGAGAACCATTCACTGCCTACTAGCGTGTCAATACAGTCTTCAATCAAGGGCAGAGGGAACACGTCTTTGACCGTAACGTAATTCAGACGTCGGTAATCAATGCACCAACGCACCCCACCATCAGACTTGCGAATGAGAACTGGAGCTGAAGCCCATTCTGACATAGAAGGCTGAATAACGTTGGCTTCCAACATTTTTTTCAAGTGTGCTTCTTCCTCATTTTCAAATCCTAGCGGGGTACGCCTCATGCGTTGTCTGACAGGTTTAGCATCTGTTGTGTCAATCCTGTGTTCAAATGCAGTAAACTCCCCTAAATCCAGATCATCCTTTGCGAAGACATCCTCAAAATCTTTGAGTAGGCGCACTAATCGTGACTAGTCATCTTGTGGCAAATGCTTGCACGAACGTGAATACAGGTCCTTGAGATGTTCTGGTAAGTTTACATGTGTGTCATGACCTATTTCACCTGGCTGTTCTGTCCCTAGATTGATGTCTTGTTTGTTCCTGTCATCTCCTTCCTCCAGAGTGACTTCCCTGATATCCACCTCTGATGCTTCCCCAACAATTTGACCCTTCTTTACCGTAATGTGGTGGTCTGTAGTGTTAAGGAAGCAAATGACTGGCTTATTTCCCGGTGAATGAAGAATTCGTGGTGATGTAATGTCGGCCATTTCTGGAGTTGGTTCGGAGATGTAGGTTTGTAAACTTTGCTCCATGTAACAGGGTGTCCTGGTTACCGAATGGGGTGGTAGTAACGTACGCCGGGGTATCATGATGCGACATACATTAACTGGTTTACCTGACTCCCTTAAAACCATGTCCACTGTTGTTCCATTTATGGTTAGGATATGATTTTTCATGTCAATTTCGGCACTATTTTTCAGCAAGAAGTCAAAGCCCGGGGTTATCTCATCTCCTATCTCTGGTTTATGTTGAAGCTTCTTGAATAGCTTGTCAGAGATAATTGTCACCTCTGCTGCAGTATCAATTATTGCCCCTGCCTTTGTGCCCTGGACCAATAGCGGGATGGTAAAAACTGTTCCATGATGCACTGCATTGATGGTTACTTCAGGACATGGACATTTGAAGATGTCACTACTCACAGCAGTTTGTGGTCTGCTAGGACCATTGCCGTGAGCAGTGACTTCCTCGTGGGCACCTTTAAAGGAATTTGAGAGACCTAGCTGTGGCGCCCTGATTGCAGTTTCCAGCTGGCCTTCACTCCAGTGGGGGGTAGGACTTAGGCCTTTCGACCCACCCCGTTGGAGTTTAACTCCTTCTCCCCGGAACTCTGTTCCTCTCGAAATGTTACCCTTTTGTCTTTAATCAGGCTTCTCTGAGGACAATTTATCTTAAAGTGTCCCACTTGGCCACACTGGTAACATTCGTTGCTGCGACCAGGTGATGTTGCGGGACTAGGGGAACGGGAACGCCTATTGCTTAACCTTCCCATTACTTTGAATAGCATGGTTTCCATCTTGTCGAACCTTGCCTCCAGCTGGTCCATTTTCTTTTCCAGGGTTGGGTTTCTGGAATTGCTTACTGGTGACCTTGAGACAGCCCTGACTTGAAAATCTCCAACCTCTTCTCGATCAGATGCCAGGTATCTTATCTGCCTCTGCTTACCATAGATGGCCTGATGGGTGCAGGGATGTGAGCAGGTTTTGCCGAAAAAAAGAGGAAAAGTCTAGGGGGGTCTGGGGGTATGCCCCCCCAGAAATTTTTAAAACATTTGATTGCATTTTAAGCAATTTCATGCAGTTTGGACAACATTCACACCAAGAAATGTAATAAGTCAATGGCAAAAGTCAATAAGTAAAATAAACAAGATGGCAGATGCAGTAAAATTTCGAAGTTAAATCAGTACTTTAAAAAAATCGGGCATAGCTTTCGCGCACCTGGCTACCCGCCAGGTCTGGGAGCAATACTGCCATAAACTTCAACCCCCATCCCCCAGACACAAGGACAACTGTCACAAGTGTGCAATGTCTGACCCTTTCCCCATGTTGAAGCATATTGAAAAAAACTTACCTTGTACTTACCTTTTGATGAAAAAAAACAAAACTCCATTTCAAACATAAGACATTAATACAATATATATCCCCATGACATGGGGTTTTGGACGCTGAAGAAACATTCATAAATTTCTCGCTTATCACATGAACAACTGTAAAACATCTCATTCACTTACAGGCTAAAAGACAACTTTATCTTAAAAACAAGCCATCAGCTGACTCTGAGTATTTACAATTTCTGTGTGACGCCATGCCCCACGTTATAGTGCAAGTATTCGTGACGGAAAACATATGATGTCCGAAAACCTATGCTGTGAAAGCTCCGATCGAAAACAGGACAATCCGCGCCAATTGTCCGGTTTTCGATCATATTTTTCGGAGTGTTTTTTTTAAATTTTTAATAATTTTTTCCGCGGAAGATGATTTTTTTCCGAGGACTACTATTTTAAAAAACGCGATTTTCCGCGTTTCCGCGGAGATTTCACATCCCTGTGGGTGTGCTGGAATGTGCGCACAGCATCCATTGCTTTCTCAAGAGAAAAGGGATGTAGGTTGGCTGCATACTGACCTGCCTCCTTCTGCTCACATCCAAGACAGAACCTCATGATGACTTGTCGCTCAACATAGTCTTCTGGCAATCTGTCAAATGCAATTGTTACTGTTGACATGAGCCGTTCCGATCATTTCTCGAGGGACTCATCTGGTTGTTGGCGCATGGTGCTGAATTTCACCTGCGCTGTTTCTGGAAGTTCTTGGCGATCATACCACCGTTGAAACTTCTTAACGAGATCCTCAAATGGGATATCGGGATCTCGCTCAATGCAAGAAGCGAAGTATTCACTTGCTTCGTCCTTCATGCAGAAGCATAACTGGTCCCGTAACTCCTCAGAATTCCAGTTCTCCCGTTTGGCATAAGTCCTAAACTTTAAATAAAAAGTCGACCAACGACTCTTTCCATCAAAGACCAGGGCCCTAGGTACCTTGATTGCAGGGCTGTGTCGGTCCTGACTTGCATAGCTCTGCCTTGGTTGATGCTGTCTGGCCCTTCCTCGGTTAGGAAACCTGTATTCCTCATCATCAACATGATCAAGCGCTGGCTCTATGGAAATCTCCGGTTCTCTGGTACTTGGGCGACTAGGCTCGGTAATAATCTGAGTGCGTCGTCTGACATCCCCTGCCCCATACTCTCGGTCACTGAGAAATTGCCCAGGATGTATATCTCTTCCTGGTTGGTTTTCGACCCTTCTTGGCTGGGGAATTGTTTGAACATGTGTGGCCTGATATTTGTCAATGACAGAAATTAAATGATTTTGCTGTCTTGTTCGGTCATCTTGAATCCGAGATGCTGTTGCCTATGCTGGCACGTTGGGTCGAACCCCACCATGGATATTCTGGTCTGGGGTTTGGACTGGGCTGCTTACCGGTACCTGTTGTGTCCTCTCTTGGCGTTCTGCCAATAATGACTGAATTAATGCATCTCTTTGATGCAACTCTTCCTCATATCGGAGTGCTGCGACTTGAGCAAACGCTGGCGGTGAGTATGGTGAGTACTGGTAAGGCGAGTACTGTGCCAGGATGTGCGGATATGTGTTGGGCATGCTGGTTGCAAGAGTGCTCGCAACTAGGGGTGGTGGCATACAATTGACTGTTGCAAGAGTGCTCGCAACTGGTGGTGGTATATGATGGGGTGTTGCAAGAGTGCTCGCAACACTGCCAACAGGTGGTGGTATATGAGTGGGTGTTGCAAGAGTGCTCGCAACACTGCCAGCAGGTGGTGGTTGATGTACTGGGGTCATTAAACCCCCTAAACCCCCATACCCTGATGACATACCGGCCGCAGAACTTGGCCCCATGTTGGCTGAACTTGATATACCTGGTTGTAGAAGGCTTTGAGCCAGAGGCTGGCTACCCATTGTAGGGCTTCCTATTTCAGGGCTTCCTGGTGCAGAGAAATCAAAATAGTCAGCCAAGGAGGTGACTTTATGAATTTTTAAATTTAGAAATTCCTCCTTGGTGATTTCCCCATTATTCTCAATGTGTGCCATTATTAATTTTGTCTTGGAAGGGCCGATGCCAGGCACTGTGACCAAATCTTGAATTTCACAGGAGTTAATGTAAATTTTGTCTTCTGCCATGGTTTGATTCAATTTTGAAGTCCTAATTCACTTTATGAACAAGATGTTTTTTTCAAAATCTATCGCAACACACAGCAGGTGTGGGATCCAAACTTCAAATTGTTGAGCAATATTGTATTTTGCAAAAAATATCGCAAAACTCAGCGAGTGTGTGATCCAAATCTCGACAATATTGACGATTCCTGTGTTGTCTTGTCACCACAGAATATTCAACAGATTTCAATTTTATTATACGATTAATCCACGATGAATAGGTATCACGGTGGACCAAAAGTGGTAATAAATCAATCTCACACAAAAATTTCGTTCAGAAAATACATATACATACAAACAATCGCTCGTATGCAAAGCATCACGGACGAGGGTAAAGGTCACGAGGTCAGAGGTTTTGTTGACGCTCGCAACAGACTGTCAAAATTTCTCAAAATCTGCCAAACACGTTAATTCGCGTGGCACATGAATGAAAAATGTTTGAGACATACATATAATCACATATAGCATCAATAATTACAATATTTGCCGCACAAAAAAAGGAAAATATCTTCCAATCGTACGACAAAATTTTCACTTCAGATCGGCAACGGTCAAAACAATCAAAATGGCGGCCCGTTCAAAAGCAGAAATCGTATTTTTGTTCGCAGCGCCACTGTAGTGATTTTACTTCCGCGAACAATATGGTGATTAACTGCTCTGATGGTTGTCAATTAATAGTGTGATTGTCCGGCACGATCTGCGTAGTGTTGTCTTAAAATGCGGTCCGCGACTGTTAGCTCAGAACTAGGGATTTTACCTTTCTCGAAGCTTCGTTGCAGACGATCCCTTTTCCGGCAGCGTACCTCGGCCTCGGCTTCCCGAACACTTCCGAGGGAAACCGAATGTCTCCGACGGAAGTAGAGATCGTCTCACACAACAGTACCACTGGTTGTCAAAATTATTTTAAAGGTAAAGAAAAGAACACATACCTTTACGAACGGTCCCATGGTTGTCAGTTGTCAGTCAGGAACCGATAAACCTGACAGTAATGACAAATAACCGATCATATTATTCTGAAATAAGTAAACTTTTACGACTGTCAACAGCGGTGACAACCAAGCGTGGTAGTTCACTTGGTACCGTCTACAGAGTTAGCTTTGGCGGCCGCGCATTTCGAAAGCAGCACTAGTTCACGCGGATAGGCATGTCACCGGAATAAGCTGGGCCCCGTCTCCAATATCACAATATAGGAGCCGGTACAGGCCAATGAGACGATGGCTGTGAGCGCCTTCGAAATATTAAACATACACTATGTTATGTAATTTTTCATTGGTCGCTATTTTTAGACGAAGCGCTACCCTTCTACAAAAGCCTCCACCGAGAAACGTCACAAACTACTTTAAGTCATTTTGTTAGATGTGCCACCATCGGGTGCAGGAAAGACCTTCAAACTTTAAATTGTAATTAATTGTAGGAAATTAAATTTCCAAAATTATTTTCTTCATATATTTTACGTACATGATATCGATATGTAAGAGAAATGATAGTAAACATAGTCTAGCGTATTCTTTGCATGAACATTTCGCAGGTTTTCGAATACACCCCCAAATTGTGCTATGCTAGAAAAATATTTATTATACACTTGTCAGAAAACTTTGAGCGAATAAAATATTCTCAGGTATTTGAACGAGATGCGCATGTTGGAAGTTTATATATGTCGACATATGTAGAGCCACCCCATACAGTATAAATGTCGCATTGAAAATATTCCTAACTTTGTCTTTCCATTCCATGACGTCGAAAAAGTTTATTTTAAGAGGGTTAGTGTTCCATTTAAGGAATAAAGAATAACTCGTAATAAATATGATGTGACTCTTCTGACAAAATAGAAATGTGTTGTACGACTCGTATGTGGTTGCAATATATTTATTGGATGGTTACGTTTAAAATGATAAAACCTCTGTTGAAAATATTGAAATTGGAATAGAAAAGCAATTAACCATGGCCGATGTTGATATTTTCTAGCTATATATTTTTAAACAACATTCAAATGCAATACAATTATTAATACCAAAAAAATAAGTCAATGTCCATTACTCAACAAATGGGCAGAATCATAATGGATGGTTTCTATTCATTCACCCAGTCATCACTTCTAACTTTGTAGGTGACATTCCGTTTCAAAGTGTTACAAATAATACTATAGTAGTAATGTAGTCTAAGATTGCGTAGTGTCCAGATGTCGATTTTCTTTTAAACATGGATGGTATTTAGTAACTATTTACATAAATCAAACCTGTGTTAAGTGATTATGTTGATAATTTTCAAGATCGTTGGAAAGATGGTATGGGGTCTTATGGTATGCGTTCTTAGAAAACTGCTTTCCATATTACTGAACAAGACAGACATGGGCATCATCCTCAAAAGGAGTTATCTCTGTGGCATCGAACCTTTTACAACTATCCGTTTTGGAATGATCATTGAGGATTTGATCAAAGACAGATACCGGTGATGCTATGCTATTTTTGAAATTCATTTCGCCGAGTGAATAGCCGAACTTATAATTTCAAAACATGCTGTAAATAACGCCATGAGTGGTAATTTAGTAATGTGTAAAAAAAATGTCGACATTTACTATGCACCTAATTTTCAGTAATTTTGCTTGGCCAAAAATGCCAGTGGATGACATGATCAAACAGGGAATTTCCCACCGTATTCAAAACTGTGAAGTGTCTCTGTGACTGCTGCAGTTTGAATTTTATTCGACTTCAAAGTGAGGGTTGAAAAGGAGGGACAAATATGTCCCTCTATCATCCAAGGGGAAATTTGCCCGTGTCAGTTTCTCTACTTCATAACATTTTTAGGAATTTTGTAAGCCTTCATTCTGGACAAGGTGTAAATGGACCTCGTTGCCCGAAAATCTATAAAATCTTCGGCCTACCTTTAGAATACAGTACCGTATTCTAAAGGTGCTCCAAAATATAGAAGTGAATTCTTGTAAATAAATATGTCAACAATGCAGCTCTTTTAACCATTTAGAGGCAGGATCTAATTGTTTTAGGTTTATGTGAATATACAAAAGCAAACAAAATCATCGAATTTCAGAAATACATTTTTTTTAAATATTTTCTGTCTTCACTTAGAATACAACCCATGAACCACTTTTAATCTGCCTTAGCGCTCCAAAAGATTAGCGAGACTGATGTCAGTTGATTTTGTTTGTCTATTTTCCACTCTATAAAATTGCCCGCCATCAGATTTTGGTTGAACCACAGCAAACGCAAGATGACACGCTTTTCACAGGTGTGTCCCTCCCTCCCCTGTATCGGCATTAGCTTAGCCATTTTTGAAAATCACCGGATGTGACGTCAAATAAACACGCTGAGTGTTTTTTATTTTGGTCTGTACCGGCTCCTAAGCTGGGCCCCGTCTCCAATATCACAATTGGCAAGTTGACGACGCGCATAGGGAGCCGGGAACCAGCTTATACCGGCTCCTAGCTTGGCGCAAGTTGACGACGCGCATAGGGAGCCGAGAACCAGCTTAGTCACCAGAAATGCTGGCAACGGAAGTAGCGCTTTCCCCGTGAGTACCCGGATGATACGCAACGCAAGATACGCAACGCAACTGAGCGTGACCAGAGACTGGGCTACCGTCTGCAAGGACAGCTAAATAAACTTAGAGGCTGGAGGCAATATTTGTTTTACGCATTTTTGAATGATTGGTTAACTGTGATCTATAAAGATTTCGACAACGGGCGCATGTTAATTAATTTCTTCAGCCTAAACAAACATACAAAAAAAAGAACGGCGGAGCTCATCGGATGTCGTCATTTGGAACTACCCCAGTTGTTTAGAGTTAAATAATAAAAAAAAAGTATCCATGCAGTGAATTGCGGATTGCGTCGATAATATGATTACTACTCCCTTGTTGTCATCCACGTTTTCTGGTATAACCCGACACTTGTGTATTTGTCGTCATTCACTTGATGCTCAGTTAATGAATTTATTACAGGTACAATTAGGTGAGGTGAGGTGAAATGGGGTTTAACGTCGCGTCCAAGATTATTGCACTTATATAGCGACGTGCATGCACGTGTATGTGTGTGTGTGGCTGCTTGTACTAGTCCGGACTGATGCCGATTTATAGTGCTAGCTCACTGAGATACCATGCCGCAGTTTAACATGAATACCCCACTCAGACACAGTATACTGACTCCGAGCTGACCAGTCCTTGTTTTAGCCCCTTAATGCCGAGCGTCTTTTTGTATGACGCGGCCCGGGATCGAACCCTGGACCTTCCGCTCTCCGGGCGGACGCTCTACCACAAGACCACGGAGGCGGTACAGGTACAATTAGTGGTAGCACCACTTAGATTACCTGACAAAGGTTCCTATTTGGCATTTATCGTGTCTGGGGTAATTATTCAATCTAAATCCAGGTTTGAAGTGAGGTGAAAGACCACGGAAACGCAGACCGCCACAACACCAGGCCCCTCCCTCAACACCAGCCAAGTCCAAACCGACCCGGTTCCGGAACAAGATGTTGAGGTAGACGTCCGTGCCCACCTTGCACAGCAGGCAGACCTCATCCTGGAGCAGCACAAGGTCCACCCTAACCCCTGCTACCAGAATGAGAGCGGCAAGATTTACCCCAGCAACCGCCAACGCCCACCCTTGGTGCTGGTGCAGTACTGGGGTGAAGAAAGGTTTGAGCACGAGATCCACGGCTACCAGGATCTCTCGGAGTTCCTCGTCGACTGTGATCTCCCAGTCAGCCCGCTCTTCATCACCAACGCCGCCGCCCGCCTCACCACCGCACTGTTCCGAGCTCTTCCTCCTCCTGGCTGGGAAGAAGCAGTAACTTCCTTCCCCACACCAGCTCGCCAGCCGACGCCGTGCATTCGCCGTGCTTGCCTTATTATCTCGAAAACTGTATTTCATTTTATTGATTAATGTGACCATACGCCCTTATTACTACCGATAAAAGTGACTAATGCGCTTACGAATGGCGCAGCAGAGGTCGCGAACTAGTCTAGATTTCTGCTATACATCCGGGTACTCTCTGGAAAAAAAACAATAACAAAGGCAACAACCAGTCCCGGGGAATTGCTTTAGATCAGTATCTTTTATAGTCCAGATTAATGTTTAGTATAGCTCAACTAAAAATCCTCTTAGACATTGCCTAAGATGATCTTGTGACTATCTTTATTTCGCTTACAGGACAATATGGGTGTTAAATTATTGTTAATTTGGATGGGTGGGGTTCTTTATAAATACTATATATTATACTAACATTTGCATAAAGCTGTTATGCCGTAGATTTTCTTTTTATTAATTAGTCACTGCACAACCAGATTGGTCAACTTCGTAGATTGAAATAAGCTGAAGAAATATCAGTCCAAATTACATTATGGAAGTTTGTATATTAAGGATGATAAAACTGATTTACTTACATTGGTAGTATTCCGTCTACAATCCACGTGGTATAATCCAATCTGATTGTGTTAAGATGACAATCTAGGCAAAAGTTTTATCCTGGCTGGTATTGCCAATTTCTTGAAAAAAGCATGCACCTGTTGCAACAACTGCTTCGTGGCCCGTGCAATGCTGCCAGGTCATCATGACCTATAACTCCCGTGCAATGCTGTCAGGTCATCATGACCTATAACTACCGATCTGACTTAGTTTCGTATTTCTGAATTACTGTTTTTCTTCTTATTTTGGCTTCCCATTTAAATCATGAGAAGAATGATTGCATCATTGTCAATCCTTCTTCATCTTTTCTTTACCTTGTTTTATAACCATGGACATGGTTATTTTGTTTTCAGTTCTTTTCTTCATCATTATTATTTGCATTATGTTGTCATCTGTTGTCGGCCGTGTCATGTTTGTTTTGTTCCTGATACATTACTATCAATAAATAAACCCACCATCTGCCTGTATGAACTTATGCCACTAACTAAAGATGTCGGTTGAATTAACACAATACAGACAGGCGGTGGGTTTGTTCTCAGCTCTTATTCACGGCAAAGCAAGAGTCAAATTTGTTAAGTCATTGTCACTTTTATCTTGT